ATGGAAAAAATCTTGTTCTATTAGAAGAACATGAGAAAAGTGAAAATGGTATGTTCTTTAAATTTTATGCAGTAATCAAAGTTGTAAATTGTAATTAAGAGATTTATTGATTTGATTATAATCTAATAAAAAGAAACGAGGAAAAATACAAAATAGAAAAAGTCTTAGATTTTGATTGTTAGGTTTCATTGTTCAATCAGCTATGCTTTTGGGAGGCACCAAGATAAAACATAAACTATTTCTTCCAAAAAAACAATTTAAGATCAAGTTCACAAATAGACTCGTTTCTATTTCTAATATTTAGAATGGACTAAATTTGAGCTTGCATTTTGTTCATGGATTGAATTGATATTATAAATTGAGTGTTTTAGTTTTTAAGCATGGAAATATTTGATTTATAATCCAATCTAAATTTTATTGTCACAACTGGTCAAACAAACACTTTATTTTGTTAATATTTTCCTAATTGATTGAAGTTGATCTTGACATTGGTAATACTGTTGAGTATATATTTTGAAATGTATTAGATTGTTTCATGTGAAATTTAATTTCACTTGAATGTTGTTGACGTCGAAAATCGTATTCACAAGATTCAAGCCAACTTAAGATATAAATAAGGACTTTATTGATAATGATTTGCAAATTACAATCGTAACTATGAGTGTTTGCTCTTTCTTTCAAGGAGATATTTGAAATAAGGTGTTTCTAGCCCCTTTTCTTTCCAAAGCCTCGATTCTCCCTTTTATAGGGAAAGATTTTCATGTATTCTTCATTTCCTTGTCCTTTCAGCTATGGTACCGAGCTGAGAAAGTACAACATTGGCACATTTGGATTGGTTAGTGAGCTCGACTTGTCAGGTCATCATGAATTAGCCTTACATGTGGTCCCCGACAATTAATGAACTATTTAGGGAAATGAGCTAAGTCGTGTGATTGGTATAATTAGCGGGCGCTGATGTAAAGCCTTCTAGATATTACTTGTCAAGTCACTATTTGTACAATGTGTAAGAAATCTTCAATCATTCTCTCTCTTCTGATCTCAATAATCACTTAATACAAGCTGACGTCAAATATCTGAGCTCGCATTAACACGAGCTTAACGCATGCAATCAACGGTATTTTACAACTTTAGAGGTCGGATGTCAACAACTATTGTAGATAATACCTTAATCTTGAGCATGCAATAAAACTCGATTACCAACTTGAAGTTTGTGAGAGTGTTCAATGTCTTGATGTCTTGAGAATTAAAGTGAGATAATTGATGACCATATAATCACAATATGAAATTTATGACCCATTTAATAGGTACAATCATGACCTGGAAGAATTTTTTTAATAGACAGAAAAATTTGTGCTCAATAATTCAATTGAATAAATATTGTAATGTGATCACCGGAGACTGTCAAATAGAAAATGAAACTGAGGATTTTTAATGCATATTTGAAAAATAGCATTTTAATCATCTTACATTGTTCCCAATATTCAAAGAACATAATTATTGTTTACATAGTTTCAATAATTTTAATTGGACTAAAAATGCAATCATATCCTTTAGTGAAATAGAATGCGGTTAATAAATTATCTCGATCAATTAAGAGTTGATTATGTCAAGATTAATTTATTGGAGCATAGTTTAATTGGGTCCATTTGGTCCCTTCGATGGCCTCAAAATAAGAATCATAAAAAATTATAAGAGTTATAATTTATTATTAATTGTAGAGTGATTAATTAATTAAATTGAAATATATCACGAGTGTCATTAATATTTGAATTAGAATTAGAACGAAAGGTAAATTGTGACCATATTCAAATATGGTAATTGTGGTAAATTATTCATCGGTCACAATAAAAAAATTGAAACGTCACAACTTATTAATCGATCACAAATCACAAACATTACAAGTCACACCCAAGTAGACGGTTACAAATTATCAAATCATCGGTCACAAATTAACAATTTTTTAGATTAAACAATATTTATTAGTCACAATTTACCTTTTAATTCTAATTCAAATATGGTAACTGAATTCTAATTCTAATATGGTAACTGAATTCTAATTCAAATATGGTAAATTCTAATAAATAAATAACAAATTTCAATAACATCTAAACCCATTCAGTCAAAACCCAAAAATTGTTCTCTCCGTATTTCTACTAGAATGGGAGAGAGAAAAGTGCTAAACAAGTATTATCTACCGGACTTCGATCCGGCAAAGATTCCACGGCCGCAGCAGCCAAAGAAAAAGCAATTCCCTATCCGCAATATGCTTCCCATGAGCATT